TGAGATGTGTCAGGAGAGCCGGGAAGCCCTCCGGTCGCTCTGCCCAAATAGACTTTACATCTCCGAGGAGCGAGGTAGCAGGCACGGAACGTGAATAATGGTGCGGGGGAAACCCTCTACTGCGAGTGTGCAGTGAGGAAGGAGGGTCAAGACCAAGACCATTGTTGTGTACCTGAGCAGGGCGGACAGAATTCGTACGCGACATTCTGCGAGAAACGTTCCTCGGGGGTCAAAAGGTCATTAAGGGAGCTTGGCAGGAACTCCTCTAGGTCTTCGTCTTCGACAGCAATCTCGTGATCGAGACCACGCATATTAAGACTTCCATCCCCACGATTGACAACTTGCGAGGGGACAGGACCAAGCTCTGTTTTCCACGTGCCGAGAGATGCGGCGAGCCCGGAACGATGTTTCGGGTCCAGTATCGAGGGTTTGGCATCATAGGACTGGAATACAGTCTGAGACTGAGCAGGCAGCGTGGATGAGACTGGAGCAGCAGCAGGCGATGTGCCGGGTGAAAATCCATTAGCGAGTCCAGTGCGGGGAAGGGAGCCACGTGGCGGGGATCCAATGGGGCCAAGATCCGCGGAATCTGTAGGACGATGTGATAGACCTGAACGTCGTGTGCTCGGCATGCTGAGAGGGAGTGTTGGTGGGGAGGGACTTTTGCGGTCTTCCTTAAACTCGCTAGCTTGAGCAGCTGCTGGTGACTCAGGCTCGAGCGGTGGCGTAGGTCGTCTCTGAAGAGGCGCTGCTGGCAACTTTTCTGTATCATCTGGGAGGGAAAATGAAGCAAAATCGGTATCTTGAGGGGTGGGGCGGGGGCGGATGGGGAAATTGTGGCCTTTAATGGCATGGAAATTGGAGGACGAGAGGAAGCGCTGAGAGACCTTGTAGGAGCCGTGGAACCGGAAAGAAGACCTCCACGAACATTTCCTGCAGCAGAGGCACCTCCTGAACCATTATGCGCATGAGGATCTTTCTTGACACCTCCCTGCTTTTGAACTATCTTTTGGGCCACCACTTCCCACAGCATTGGCAGCGAGCTGGGCCGACTTCTTATTTTTCCTGTCCATGGACATACTTTGGCCAGGAAGAACATGTGCTAAAGCACACTTGTGGCCAAACTTGCAGTTTCCCTTGACGAACCATGCGCAGACGTCCTTCTGCTGACCAGGCTCTTGGACGTTATGGGAGAATGGACAAGAAGAGCCTGCTGTGCAAGCGCCAACCTTGAAGAATTTGCAAGGTACATGGGGAGATCTTTGGCTAGAAAATAATGGATTAAGTCCAGGAGAGGAAGAGGAGAGGAAACTTGTAGTACACTTCGAAGAAGACTTTGACTTGTGAGATTTATCCTTGTCACGGTCGGAATCTGGATATCTCTCGGTCTCATGCTCTGAAAGTTTTTCAGAATCCAATTTTTCGTTTGAAGGCATGATCAAAGAAAATTGGAATAAAGAAGGGAGGAGGAGGAGGAGGAGAACGGGACGAGCAGAGAAAACCTGAGTTAGAAGGTGCCTTGGCAGGTGCTTGGAGATTGCTCGTTAAAGGAATTAAATTATTATCATATTGATTGATAAGCCATCAGCGATATTAACCGGATAACCCCCCTATCTTCTACACGATCTCAACCCCCCAATATTAACCTTGTTATTGTTCGGCATGTCAGTACTGTCCATCTATCTGTTCTTCTATCTTCCGTGAACTAAATTGCAGACCATGGATCTCTCTCTTGAGGATTTTGCGCCGATAAATCTTACCGGGTTCTTGAGCTCATCGGAGAGGGCGCATATGGTATCGTCTGGTATTGTCATATCCTGTCTGCATATTACAAGTCAACTGCTCACTTTCCTCTCAGTTCAGCAATACATCACCCTTCCCAACGCAAAGTAGCTATAAAACGCATAGCACCATTTGATCACTCCATGTTCTGCCTTCGAACATTACGCGAGATAAAACTTCTTCGCCATTTCCGTCACGAGAATATCATTTCTATCCTCGATATCCTACAACCTCCAAGCTTCGATCAATTCAGAAGTATATCTCGTTCAGGAACTCATGGAAACCGACCTACATCGCGTCATACGTACACAGCAATTGAGTGACGACCACTGTCAGTATTTCATTTATCAGGTACGCCGCAGAATACACATACACCAAGTATAAGCCTCGGTACCGAACGATTTTCCCTCTTTCCAGGCATTACGTGCCTTGAAAGCACTCCACTCCGCAGACGTTCTCCACCGAGACTTGAAACCTTCCAATTTGTTATTGAATGCCAATTGCGACCTCAAGGTACGTGCCGTTAACTTCATTTCACATATGCGTACAGCTTTAAGCACCCCCCAGGTATGCGACTTTGGTCTGGCTCGTTCCGCCCGACCGCCACCAAATGTTGCTAATGATAGTAGCACTTTCATGACCGAATATGTCGCGACTAGGTATGATTGACTATTAATTCTCCACAAAACTTGTCATGACCAACCCGGCATCTTAAGATGGTACCGTGCACCCGAGGTCATGCTTACTTTCAAAGAATATACTCGCGCGATTGACATGTGGAGCGTTGGTTGTGTCCTCGCCGAAATGCTCAGCGGGAAACCTCTATTTCCCGGACGTGATTGTATGATATTTCCCTTCATCCTTTGTCTAGTTACTCACGTTCCCTAATTCCCATCGCCACATCAAGGTAAGTATAATCCAAATCATGCACACATTTTATGAACCCCATATCGTCCCACAACCTTGTTAAATCAGATCACGACCAGCTATCAATTATATTAGACGTCCTCGGCACACCCTCCATCGATGATTCTATGCCATCTCCTCCCAACGATCAAGAGAATACATCCGTGCACTGCCGTTCCGCAAGAGCAAACCATTTTCCCAGCTCTTCCCAGCCGCCAACCCTCTTGTGAGTTGTCACCTCATTTCCCGCACATCTGACACCTGTGTCCACAACAACTAAGACATTCCTTCCCACAGGCAATAGATTTCTTAGAGAAATGCCTAACATTCAGCCCAAGACGACGAATAACTGTTGTCGGGCTCTACAACAAACCCTTACTTCGAAGTCTGTGTTTCCCTTCTCAATCATTTTCCCACTGACCACGCGCATAGCCTTACCACGACCCTGATGACGAGCCCATGGCCGACCCCCATCGACCCCTCCTTCTTCGACTTCGACAATGGCGAGGCTCTAGAAAAAGAGGATCTCAAGGTAAGCCGAGATCCACTGCAATGTGTCCATTCGTTGAGCGAAGCTTCAGTACTTATATACAAGGAAATCACAAATGCGAAAGCATCCCATCCATCACTCTTGTTGACCAAAGATGCCTAAATGTATTTGATATTGATACCCTCTAGTGTAGCATCGTATTCAACGGACCTGATATATGTGGCACAATATTAGCAAGAAATTCAAAGGCTTGACACGGGAGCTGCTATTCAGGACAGTTACGCATGGCAGCGAGTATGTAGAGTGGGCGAAATTGGACAGCCAATATTACCTTCACGTACCCGGCTCCATAATTATATGCGGTTCCTGCAGATACCTGATGCCATTCAACCATGGCACTCTGCGCTAAGTTCCTTCGTGTTGCTGGAATAAGATAACCCTCACGCAGTGATTCATACTTCGTCTGTGGCCGATTTGGTGCATTCTTATGGATTATTGAATGCATTCCCTGCATGCGCAAGTCCCGGGCTTTTATGCACATGTCAGCAGCAAGTCTAACATTGTTGGTAATCACGATCACTCCAGCTGACAGCGTCGCCTCATGAGCCTCTCGCGACCTACTTCAACCCCAATGTGTTCAAAGTGAAGCTGCCTGCGAACAGCGGAGGAGCAAGTCAGATCCAGCAGGTAACGCAATCATCATTTCCTACCCCCTGCTCGATTCATGGCAACCACCCGAACTCCCGTAACTCGATACGACTCTCAATACCACCCACATCAGACCAACATACCAGTGACAGACACGATCAGATCAGCTCAATCCTTACCTTGCAAAACACCACGTCTTTTCAGGAGATATTTCACTTGAGTCTTACCTACGCGCATAATATATTTTATTCAGCTTCCGAGTGGTGCACATGCATCGAAAGAACTTCTTGCGCGATTGTAGCTATGATATATAACTTAAACAATGCTTACAGACCGAGTTTTGTTCGTATCGCGTTAGCATATTTGCATTTCCCATCTACAGCATCCAACGCGGAACTTTCATGGAGGCTTCAGGAGATTGGTTAAGAACATGTTGCAATCCTAAGATTGCTCGATGATTTTTAGGACTGGCGTACAGACCAAAGGACGCTGTGGTAGGGTAATTTAAACTAAATGTTTTACCTTCAGTGACATCATTCTACGTCGCTTTCTGACGCAGAGCTTGACCCATCATCATCACTGGGCATGGCATGATTCGGATTCCGCACGAGAAGATCCTCAGTGCTCCTAGCTGCATCTTCTAGACATGAGATATTGAAAGACATAAACAGAAATGCGAACCTTTATCTCTGCGTGATTCCTCATAGCTCTCCTGGAGCTCTGCAATAATGGTCTCCTGCATCACGGCAATCTCTTCCGCCGATGCGCACGTTTGGTATCGTTTGAGGTATGGGCTACCGTCACATTTGAATTAGTACAGAGCGGTATGATCGTGAAAGAACTGCACCCATTAACTTTCCAGAACGAATCGCCCCACCCAAACGAACTGAGCAAGGTCTCCGCATGCTGATCGAACCCTGTAATGTAGAAAGTTTGCTGCAAGTGCCTCGACGCAGTTCAGCCGCCAAGGCTTGCCGTAATTGGTGGGGTTAGTAGCAAGCAAGTAGGGACTGCCAATGACCCATCATCGACCAGGGAGATGTGTAAGAGGAGAATGGACTTACGAAGCCGTTCGTGTGGGCTGGCAATTTTCGAGAATGGGACGTCGTCTATGCGGGCCCAAGAACATTCGACAACGGCGACACCGTCTCGTCCGACGATCTCCTTGTCTGCTGGGCTCACGACAAGGGTCCCCTTTGGACTGGTGGCAAATGAATGAGGTCAGAGTGAGTGTGAATGGACGTTTGGAACGAGACAGACGCACGATACGACCACGCCTCGAAATCTGGATCCCACCCTCAGTTCCGTTATAAGACCGAGGCGGGAAAGTTTCTTCCCAGAGCATCGGCGTGGATCACAATGGTCGAAGTCCTTGATCATTTGTATTATAAAACGGCACGGAGCGAATGACAAGTTAACGCACCCACATCGCCACGGGTACATCGATGTGCGGTTGCCCAGCTGTGCGCTCATGAGTGGCCATTCGACTACCTTGTTAAATCACTCGCATTCATCTTCTTCACCTGAAGAATGATTTGAGTTGTCATCTTCGATAATGCTTGAAGGCTTGGCAGAGTCCTCGGGGAAGCTAGACGATGGCTGGGATTGCTGGGAGGTTCTCGCACTTTTATGTCGTTGTGCGCGTCCACCACGTCTTGGTCTGTTCGCACGGGAGGACGGAGCATTCAGAGTATTCTTTTTGCCCATGATCGCACGTATTGACCTCTTAAAGCAGGCTTTCGAGGAAAATGTCGAGTTGGTTATGTAAGCAGATGATTGAAATTTCGGAAGTCGTCTCCGAGTTTAATAGGTTTGAAGCCATTCATCGATGTTCTTTACGGCCGTCTGTCTTTCGAAAGCTTCGCGGCGAGCTTTGACGCCCAAGCGGGGGAACAAGGACTTCTATAAAGGTGAGCCAAGCAACTTTGTCTCTTGAAATTGTGGAACACACGTTGCTGTCATTTTCTCATTTGCGTCGGGCTGTCTCTAATCATGGTTTCCGTCTAAACGACCGGTCTTCTCGTTTCGATGCTCACACTGTACGCAGGGAACTAGACAAGCCTTTCTCCCTGGTGGACACCGCACAGGTGCCCCAGGAAAACATGTCATCCGTGGCGCGTCGAAGTACCGTTTACTGGACGAGAAAGTGAGGGTGTTCGTCGCGCCAAGCATAGAGGAAATCAAGAAAAGCGAGGTGCGTTCTATAGGTATTATCGATTTACTACTTTTCTGACTACTTTTTGCTTCGTTATTTTCCTCATTTGCACTCGCGAACCCGTATAACCGCCCCTCGTCTGATGTCCCTATCTATCTGTTTTTTCTGGGATTAGCTGAAGCCATACGTTGGGAAGGATGTTAAACTCACAATGGTACAGAAGAGGGAGCTGTGGAATATCATGCCAAAGTCACCAGCGTCGTCGCAGTCCGCTCCATCTAGCTGAGCGAACAACTTTTTATTATAGTATTCGACTCTATTGTACTATATCATAGAACATAATGTCATGCATACCTCCTATTGTAGCAGGAGCGGGAAGGGAGTGGGTGCCAGGGTGTAGGTAGCGGTCTTCGTACCATACCAAATATTCCTGATTTATTGCACCCTCCAGACTCTGCCATGGCATGCCCGGATTGTCTTTCAGCGTAATCCTCAGATCTGGTTCATCAATATCAAGACAGTAGATCCAAGCCGACCTTCTCAAGCCCAATGCCCAGTGTCTAGAGCTGGGTCTGTAATAAACGGATCGTGTCTCGATTTTTGTCCACACACTTTTTGGCAAATAATAAAATTTGCTAGTATGTTCAGTAATTTGTGTGCGCCGACACTGATCTTTGAGTCGTAAAAGGTAAAAAAAACATTAATGGCCTGGTATGAGGCTATGATTGTCTCTTTGGTGTGACATGCATATGTTGCCAAGCGATACTCTATCCCCTACTTCGCCTCCACCCGCAGCACGTTGACACTGTATGCTGGGGCAGTGTATGAGAAAATCTTACCAGTTTTAATCTGTGAAATGACGGGCTTGACAGCGTTGGGAGTCTCGGGTGAGTTGTTTGATGTGGCAGAGCCTGAGAGTACTGTCGCAGTGCCAGTGTCGTGAACACCGTTGAAGGGAAGCTCGAATGACATTTCTTCATCTGTCATGTCTGTGTTGGCAATCTGAATAACGAAATATCAACATCGTCGCAACCGACAGAAGAATTAGAGCCTTAAGTACCTTGATGATAATCGTATTGGTGGGTGCATCACGCGTGACACTCCAGTGGAGTGCCCCATTTTGAGGCCAGGTGCTTGGTAAATATTCGGTTCCACGGTTGAGACTAAAGAGCTGCAGCAGATGTTTGAGGGATACAATTCTGCTCAGATATCAAATATCACTACCTGTTGTGTATAGAAGCTGGTTGATGGGTACACATTTGACGCACTGAGGAGACATGAATCTGATATGTATCTTCGATTGTCGCGAGCGACTCACTCAAAAGCAATAAGGTTTGGTGACCACTGATAGTTGGCAGTGTTCTACAGTGCGATTATTGGTGTTCACTCTAGTTGCAGTATGCAAAGTCAGCTCACCATTAACAAGGGAGCATACGACGCAGCGAAGACGATGTCACTGTTACGCTCGAGACCGGTCATGAATGCGGCCTCTCCTGAAGATCCTATCCTGGCGTCAGGTATGGTTCATCACCACGAGAGTACACACCTTGCATATTAGGGTATACAAGACGACCATTGTTGGGTTTGCCGAAGATATCGCTGGCGTTAGTTGACACAACAGCATATTCACCCTCAAAGTAGTAAGTGCCGTCGCGCTTTCAACCGTGTCACATTCAGGTTCCCGTGAGGCGAATGCAGAGCGTACGAACCTTGACAGAATCATAGTAGAACGCATTTTCTGCGAACCATCCAGGTGTCTGGTACACGTGGTTATCATACTGCTTTGGGACGGGATCGAGAATGGGATTGAAGGGGTACGAGGTCGCGATGAATTCTACCAAGAAATGTATCAGTCAGAGGCAAGCTCCTGGACAGCAGTGTAGCGCTCACTCAGCTGAGGGAATATAGCCGTCAAGTTGCCCGCGAAATCTCTCCAGCGGTATATATACCTTGTGGTGTATCATCGACATGCTCATTCATCCGTTAGTTTGAAGTAAAGGACTCACGATTCTGATGCAAAGTCTTCATTGCCAATTTCGACATACTGCAGATTGAATGGTTCTGGGTGACCAAGAGATGCACGCAGGGCAGCTGGTTTACTCGTGGCGGAGTCACCAACGACAAAGTTGATCTGGTCGATTGCCTGTTGGATGTATGGCGCGAGATCGTTCTCAGGGAGGCTGGCCCCATCGAGCGAGTACCCTGTGTGTGAAATAAGCATGCAACAATATGACATGCACGCCTGTTATATACCTGCCCATACAGCCATGATGGGCTCCATTTCCATATCTTCGCAAAGATACATGTACTCGAGAAGACCGAGACCGCTGAAAAAAGGGGAGGGCAATTTGTTATTGATGGCGGAGTAAAAGTCACGAGAATGGCGCGGACTCAGTGTTGACGTATCCCCAGTCACCCATGCGTCCTGGACGGTCAATAAGGTTTCCTACTGTCGCATTCCATTGCCAGCGTGTAGAAAAGCTTTGGCCCTGGTGTTGCGTCAACGATCGAGTCCACAAATAGGCTGATCAATATTTTGTGTTTACCTCCTACAAAGATAGTCAGCGTAGATGAATATGGCGCTATATGGAGCCTACCAAGTTGTTACCACCAGGCAAACGGAAGAACGAAGGCTTCATGTCATACAATGTCTATGTGCTGCTGTTAGAACATGTTGCTTCAACTACAGATGAAAACACGCCTGCGCAATGTCCATACGCAGGCCATTGGCTCTGCCCTTGAATGTTGGAGGGAAGAGAGAGAACATTGCGAAGTTGATCTTCCCTCCGATAGCACTGACACCATCGACCGTGACCGTGAAAATATTGATAGTTGACACAGGGCTTGAGGAAGGTGTGAGATGCACCACGACCTGCGTCCAGGTTGTGGTGGAGCCGGAGACAGGCACAGAAGCGCTTGCATAGACTGCGCCAATAGAAGACTGAAGCATGACAGTGACTTTGCCAGAAAAGTCGGATGCGCTTGGGAATTTGGTAGTAGAAAGAGGCGTTGTAAGTCCAAGAGGCATTGACGTTTATGCCTAGAGGGAAAACAGTGAACTCGATGCACAAGTCCCGGGGTTAGTTGGACTTACCCCAATAGCCTTCATTGCTGAATCCGACTTGAATAGAGGAGCCAGATGGGATGGTAAGCTCAAGGGAGTTGGGCAGAGCATCGGAGAGCGGGATGGGGTCAGCAATAACATTGATGGATGCACCATTGATTGCAGCCCAGCCGTAGAGAGCATCAATTGTGTCTAGATACGTTTCAGGGATTACAATTCGAAAGATACAGCTATGTGAATCCTACTTGGTGTCACCTGCTGGAAGGCGCGGTTCTGAAGCACTTGTAAAAGAACCTCAGGAATATGCCAGGAGCGTAAATTCGATGAAGCACTGACACTCTGCGTAAATACCACCGTCACCGCTCTGCGAAAGAGGGTAGACGTTATTTTAAAAGCACTCAAAGTTATCTTGACCATGATGATATGCTCTTACATACTATAATGAGTGAGGAACTGATGAATAGGCCACGATCGTGCATCAAAGGAAACGTACATTGATATCCTATAAGTCACCGATATGTTGCATGTCAGAAAGCAGTACGAGTTTTACCACTATCTACTTGCCTCGAACATCTGTCCAACTGAGTGGTATGTTAACGCAAAATAGGGTCGCAGGCAGATGTCTCAACTCACAAAGCAGAGGCGGAATGCTGTGGGCAGCTGTACCATTGACACTGACAGTCGTCACCGCGGCACCACAACTTGCGAAAATAGTACTTGCGAGGATACCACACTCAGAAGGCTGGACAGCATCTTGCAATCCAATTTGCTGGGATACACATAGCTGATCAGGTGCCTTTTATAATAAATGGTCATGACGTCGGGGCAGACCGGCGTCGGGTGCGGTGGAACGCGTGACCAATGCAGTGAGGTTGTAGGGAAGGAGTCCAAGGACACAAGATTCGCAAGCGCAGTTCGTGCAAAAACGTTCTCCCCGAACTTCACTTGAATAACTGATTTTAGGCTGTGAAATTCATTATGTCAAGGCTAACTGCCAGTGAGTACTAGTGGCGGGTGCCACAGGTAACTTCCTTGAAACTGAAGCTTCTGAAGCCGTGATATGCAGCAGTATTGGATGCGTTTCTTTGAAGCGAGGAGGATCAATTAGCCACTGGTTGTACTTCAGGTGAAACCGCTCACTTGGGCGGCTCGGCTAATGATTTGGCCTCTTCGAACTTGCGGTCTCCAAGCACCCAATATGTGCTCCTGTGACAGACCTGCATGAAAGCCACTTCCTGCGTGTCCAATGTACTGTAGCTACCGTGGTCCGTGACGGAGCACCTATGTTTTCCCACATTACCTAGTTAGTCAATCAGTAACGGTGCCAGCATCCCCAAGTGGATTTTCACTCCGCTTTTTATTCCCTCGCTATGTACATGTTGCGTGGACAACCGTGACTCCCACGTAACTGTTGTAATTGGGTGACTTCCCGTTCTAGTGTTGCCGTCGAAGTGAAGTGACTTCGAAGTAACTTCGCTTCGCTTCGAAAACGTGAGACTTCGGTTAACTTCGTTGTACCGAAGTTGGTCGAAGTGACACGTCGTTCACTTCGAGAGATGAATCGAAGTTTATCGCATAGATTAATCATAATCACTACAAGTCTAAAGTCCTATATGTGCCTCCTGTCTCTCTCATATTTCACTGGTAAAACATCACTGTACACCTAAGTACATTCAATTGCCCACCTTTCAATGGACTCAAAAGATGTTGACACAACATTCATCAGATCATCGAAGTTCCACACACAGCTCAAGAGCTACTTGCAAGCGAGCATACTCCAACCCTGTCAATGGCCCTTCCTGCATATGAACTCCTACAGACCAAATGGACCGAGCTGAAGGGGACCATTTGGGAACTTGCCCACTATATCAAAATTGGCCTTGACAAGCTTTTTAACTACATTTGTCAAGGCAGGAAAACATGGATCTACACACTAGCAATGAGCTGGTTTGAGATTCCTTTCACATTTAAAATTTTACTGAATTTCGGATAGTTATCAATCCAAGCTTGAAACTTGAATGGATGAAGGCTCACTGGGATGCAAACAATCATGGGAATGGACATTAGAAGTGGTATGTTCAAATTTTGCTATTTTCTCTTCAGTAGTGCTAATGCTTTGTCTACAGATGACATTGTATCACACAGCAATGTGCTTGGAACGGGAAAACAGTGCCTACACCATGCATGTCCACATTACAGCTTCCCTGCTCAACCAATCCTACATCTGCGGCTGCGCAATCATTGATGGCCGGATTTGGGCGCTTGACAAAGATCAACACTAGTGTTCAATGTTTGACAACCTCATTAACTTCTGCCACTTATTCAGACTTGGCTACACCACTTCCTCTAAGTCCTTCCTTGTCATTTGGCCAGTCAACTCCAATATGAACACTGGAAGAGCAAACATGATGAGATTTTTCAAAGGAAGACAGGAAAGATGCTGAGCGAGAAATGCAGCACTATGAAGAAGCAGCACCTCTTGATGCCATGGCTGAACGCACAGCTGATATTGTTCGTTTTTTGGGAGGTATGTGTACCGTTTAGTCTCTTTTTTTGTTTATTCATTAAATTAGCTATTTGCAGCAAAAAGACCTTATATACATGCTGCTTTTCCACATCACAATGGATATCCTTCCCACACAGGCTTTATCTGTTCCTTCTGAATGAGTCTTCTCATCCAGCAAAGAGACATGCACAGATCAGCATGCTAACCTCTCACCACCAGTGCTCAAAGCATTACAGATTCTCAAGTTCTCTTACAAGCAAGACTGGCTGGATTTCACATTGCATTTGGTTGCAGAAGAAACATATTACAATATTTTGGGGCCTGTGTCTAGGAATGCCATAGATGAGCTTGTGGCAGCAGGCAAGCTCAATGAACTTGCTCAGCTGCTTGCAAATGAAAATGAGGAAGCTTAGTCTTATATTATACTGTAAACTAGTAGCTGTTATGAATGGTGTGAGTTCGCAACTGGAACTTGGATAGGGGCTCTTGCTAAGCCTGCTGAGACCAGTAGGTGTTCGATAGCAAGAGTTCTTCAGCAATAGCCTCATCAACTAGATGAAGGTATTATCGACGATTACGACAGCGTGTCTGTAATCGTGTTTCTCAGCTAGCAAGGCTATTGAGTGACGAGCTCAACAGAGATCAAGATGAGAAAGCAAAGCTTGCTTAAGGCTTCTAGCAGATAGGCAGGTAGGACCAAGTAGATTCAAGTTAGAGAATACAAGCGATACCCTACTGGTATATATAGGTAGGAAGTGGTTGAGAGCAGGACTGCCGAATTAGTGGTAAGGGCAAAGGGGACGAGTCAGAACGAGTCATATGCGAGATAGCACCGGTTGGACGGTAAGGGCAAAGGGGAAAGTGAGTCAGAGATAAGTACCAGTTGGGCGGTAAGGGCATGGGGTTGTGAGTCAGAGAAATGGAACAATGGTAACAGTAAAACGTGCACAGCGATCTAGGAGAGCTGTGTGTTCGAAGTGAAATGATGTAGTAAGTACAAAGTAAGACAAAGGTGAAGAGAAAATGAATAGGGGCCTAACGTGACCCGATGTTCTTGTAACAGTAGCTACATTTGATTGATTATCACTGCTGCAAGTTTTCCCACCTATTGCTGACTTCGTGAAGTGGAACAAAGTGCACTTCGACTAACTTTGTTCACATCGAAATCTAATGAAGTGTGTCCAATTTCCACTTCAGTTTGCTTCATGGCAACACTACTTCCCATAGTTAAAAATAATGCAGAATAGAACATACTGTAGAGATACCGTAATATGACACTAACTTCATCACACATCACAAGCCACCATGAATTGAAGCTATTCAATGTGACCATCACACTGATTTTTCATAAGGTAGCAGCCATGCAGATTCTACATACCTCACATGACAAACATGATCAAAAAGTGACTGAAGACAAAAATTGTAATATCAATTGATTGGGAGCCTTACACATCAAACAGCTACTCAGTTACATTGGTAGTAATACTGTGGACATTTTCTGTTAATCAGAATTAACAGAATGGAGTAGAACATGTGTTATTCAAAATATCAGAAACTGTTGTTAGTGGAGTGTAAGGTCAATGTATGTGCATGATACTCTGACATGCTGTGCCATGTTGCCAACACTATCCTCGCACCATGGGCAACAAAACATGGGGGCAGAAGCACTCGAGAGACAACCTGGTATTAGCACAAGCATCTAAGAAAAGGCAAAAGACTTCAGTTCTGTGTTTTGTGTCAGAGAATGATGAAAATGTGAGTGACACACCTTGTAAATAGTCTAGACAATCTCAATATACTTGTATGATCAGGCCTCTGACTCTGCTGCCACAATGTTGACCAGTATTGATCTCAATAATGTCATGATACCATACCCCAGTGTGAAAGAGAAATGGCGACTAGGCAGTTAGTAACTAGTGCTACTTATCCAAATAGGCGTGAGTGTAATATTCGACCCAAGAGGACTACTATTGAAGCACCCTACTAATAAGCAAGGGGAGCGATAGCACAAAGGGCTTAAAACCTATAGCAACCTAAGACCAAAGTGAACTAATGAGTAGCACTATAGCAATCAGCGACTAAGAGAGTTCCAACAGAGAAATGTGTGTATAAGTGAGATGTGCTATGCAAGGTGTTTTATGCGATAGCGCTATGCAAACATGCGACTAGTGACAGTGGGAAGAAATCAAAAGAGGGAAAGCAAAGGTAAGGTAAGACAGTGCAAGTGAAATGCCTGGTAGCGACTAGATGTAGCGTGGACTACCAATAGCGATTCCAACATTGCAAAAGTCAAACTATGAGGATCCTTAGCGACACGCACTTAAAGCCAGTCAAGTGACCCGCAATCAGAGAGAATGGCAAGAGCAGAATCGATTGCACAAAAACTGAGATATAGTGACTAAGGAGACTCTGACACACCAGCAGAGGTTTGGGGAAGAAAAGTAAAGTACTGTAAGTGCGATGAGCCATTTTTATCATACTGCATAAAAGTTCGGCAATGTGTAGGCGAGAATAGTAGCAACACAGGCAAAAGCACAATGTTCCTACAGGTAATAAAACATGCAGCACAGCGGGACACAAGGATACATGTAATAAGACCTGCGACTGATCAGTAGCAACATTTAAGGACTAATAATGCACCAGCGGAGGTAGGTAGACATAGGCAGGACATGGGAGGACAGAGTACCTAGGCGTTGGACTGGATAGCATGCTATGGGAGAAAAATGGTCCTGAAGTGGATAGCTTGGGAACAATAGTGCTGGTGACTGGCACTTTACTCTTTTCCTCTAGGCAAGGCAAAATATGCCTATGACATCATACATGCTTAGCGCTGGTATGATTGTCACACTGGGCCCTCCATTCAACATCTTCCATTCGAAAATATGACCTCAGTGCACTCCAAACAGACATTCCAATGTGAGGAAGTAGAAGATGAGGATGACCTGATTGCCATTTGCAGAGTGCATTGGCAAGAAAATGACTATCCTCAGCCTGGCATACTTGAGGAAATTACAGACTTACAAGAAGCCACTGTCTCTCATGACTGTTGTGGTGCCCACGAGATAGTTGATGATTTCATCAATGATGACGAAATGGATGCTGAATATAACGAGAATAATGAAGGAAGTGAAGGACTCAAGAAGCACCATTACCATTTTGAGTTGAGAAAGCTACCCACCATTGAGGAAGCTCACAAAGCTCTTGACAGCTTGCAACAACTGCCCAAGCCACCACGGAAAGATCAAACTGGGTATAAAGACCCCAAACTGCCCCCTGTGCTGAAAGAGAAGCTGTTACATGAAAAACTTCCTATGTGGATGTTAGCAAGGATGGGAGGACTCACCCAGAAAATCCTGTTGGGGGACAGTGGCAACATGCTGCTGATAGAGCTGCATGAGATGCATGAGGAGGAAAGAGTACCAAGGGAGATTATATGTCTCGCTGTCTTTGGCACTGGTCAAAGGTGTATATTAGCAATTGAAAAGCATTACTGATGTCATGCATGGTATACAACTCATACCATGACATATACACAAGAGGTGTGATAAGGACGGTATAATAGACCCTACTGTATCCTATCACCAAGTTACCCCATCATCTTCCCCTTATTTATTAGCTAGCATTTCACTTTCAAAAGTTCACTTCCATTTTTCCATGTATTTCTGTTTTGTTTTATGACATTCCATCTCTTTCTATTTTTCTTAGGCATATTCAGCCAACAGACTTTCTCTCAAGCCACCAAACATGTTTGTAAGCATGTCATGTGACTGGGAAATATCATGATTTGTCATGCTTTGTAAGATTTCTAACTGTATTTATAATCCACTTAGTAAGAAGGCTGATTCAGCACACCCAATGGCATTGTTTGTAAGCACATCCTTACAAATCCATGTGATGACTCATGCCATGATTCGTCATGCTTTGTAAACTACACTGTATTTATAATGTAAATTAGTAACCAGGCTGTCATATCCCGTATTCCGGACCTTCGTCCGATGATGTTCCCATGCCTTCTGGACGCCTTCTGGATGCACATCCGGACCTCCATACTCTTATCCATGACTCCATACCCTTATCCATGACTCCAGTACTCCAGTCCACTATCGGTTTGGATCCGTACACCTTCGTACATCCATATATCCATACCTTCGGACCTCCGCAGCTAAGCCTGCTTCATCCACCCTTGGTCCTATTGGATCTGAGCTCATTCCATCTCAGACTCTACCTTCCCTAGATTACCGGTTTATATCCATGATCCTTATCCTAGTTCCGTCTTCACCTATATCTCTGGATCCGCTCATCTGATATATCCAGATGCCTCATCCGATATCTCTAGACCTCCGGATCCGACCTATACTCATATTTGAAGCCCAAACCTTAAATCAGCATCTATCTCCTTATGGTAATCCCCTTGTTTCCGGACTTCGGTTATCTGTGTTTCTGTCTTGCTTATTGATCCTTGTACTCTGTTCATCTCCGAGTTCATTTACTTATGTTCCGTTCATACTTACCAATATGTTTCCACATGCTCATACATAGCATTTGTGTTCAGCTTACTGATCCTCTCAGATCCCTTCCAGTATATAAACCTCTGTACAACTCCTATAAAGTTTCCTTAGTTCAAATATCAACATAGACTTGCTCTCCCGCATCTTAGACTTCACTCATTCTGATCTTGGACTTCAGTCCATCTTAGTATTGCCTTTCCTTAGGCCTAGGGAAGGATTCCCTAGGCCGACTTTCCGGTCCTCCGGATTTATCCTTCTGTCTACATCCATGCTTAGGGATTGACTCCCTAAGCCGGAGTTTTGCCTTTCCGGCACTTCCTGTCTTTCCAAGACTTCTGTCTAAACCCTGTCTATCCGACTCTACCATAGTGTAGTCTACCTCTGTTTGTTTCTACTCTAGACCTTGTCCATAGTAGCCTTTCTCCTCCTGTCCTAATCCTGTCCGCTCCTCTGGTCCTCTGGTCCTCCTAAACCTTCGGACCTTTGGACATCGTAACCTTTGGACAACGTACCTTTGGACAACGTAACCTCTGGACATCTTAACGTCTTAACCTTCGGACCTCTGGACATCCTGTCTTTCAGACCACTCCTCCTATCCTATCCTGCTTTGGACTCTGTCCCTTGCAGCCTATCCTCTATGTGTTTTTATCTAGGGAACTTATCTTGGGAAGTCTTACCTTCGGATCTAATACAGTGGATGAAACTCCTCCGGAGTTTCCTATACTCCTCCGGAAGTTTCTCGCACACATCCGGAAGTCCTCTAGCACTCTACTAGAGTAGCCAGCCTCCAGAAGTCCTTCGGACTTCGTCGTATTCCATCTGGACTTCATTCTGAAATTAAGGGCACGTACTCGGGTAAGGGGCACAGCGCACGAGCTGAGGCCAAGCCCTTCAGATCCGTCTACCCTTGAGCTATGGTCTTAACACAGGCTGACTCAACACACCAAATGACATTGTTTGTAAGCACATTCTTACCAATCCACGTGATGATTCATGCTTTGTAATCAGGGCCTCCAAAAGGTATATAAGGAGCCCAATTTTGCTATGTAATAAATGGAGCACTTCCCACCTTCACTCATCTCAAACAGTGTGAGATTAAGTAAGAACCTAAGTACAGGCAAATCAATAGCCTCAAAGTAAGACTAAGAAACATTTATTCAAGTTATATACTACCTTACAGGGGTTGATTATATAATCTATCAGCTAATCTAACTAATTTTAACCCATACTATTTTCCTCTCTCTTTTACAGGAAGGGAGACATGATTCACGCTACACAATTCACAAGCACACTAACTCTCAGACACAATTCATACCATAGACTCAGTATACAGAATCCAATTGTTTTAAACTAACCAAGGAACAAGGAAAGAAGGTATATTGAAATAAATTCTCCCAGGAACTCACACATTATCTACCATGAAAACTAGAAAAGTTGTAGACTGTGTACTTGAGGACTGACAATAAGTCTTATCCTGTATAGTTGTGTTGTCACTATACAAGTGACATACATAAGACCCTAGAGTAAGAGGACACTGATCTGTGACAAACCTCGTAAACTCTTGTGGATCAATGATGAGGGTTTGGCATCAGCTGTGAAGGATCATCTTCAAAGCTGTGGCAAATATGTTTGTGCCTGGGACATTGTTGATTATTCTAATGTTGCAGAGAATCAAGCTTTACATGGCTTCAAGAAAGGAATCTCACTCACAACAGCTCAGTGGTGGATGAAAAAACCCAATGTGGTGAACAAGTTTTGGCTGGGCTGTAGGGAAAAGCACCAAACCAAGATATATGAGTCTCCTGCTCTGCCTAGCTGCTACTCCTGCTAGCAAGAATGTTCGACCCTAAAGGATCTCTGACTAGGCTTAGGCTCAAGGAAAGAGAGTGGAGAAGGTACTTCGAGTCAAGGTAAGAAAACTATGTTCCAGGAGCTATCTGGTGAGCTGAGAAGCTACAACTAGGAAAGCTACAACTAGGGGATGCTACCGAATAACCCAAGTGAATGGGGGGCAACCAAAGAACTGGAAACAAGGAAACTAGGTAATGACTGTAGAGTCCTAGGTAAAGAGTGAATTGATTATGTAAGCAGCAAAAGTGCGAATCTAATCTAAGGAAAGTATCAATAAGACCTGCATAGTGAAAACTGCCTTTGCAAGGCTACAGAAAGTTTGAACACCACATCGGGTACCACTGGACAAAGGACCCAAAAGGGCAATATGTTGATGGCCATGAACGTCAAGATGTTGTTCATTACAACCAAAATATTTTCCTCCCAGCGTGGATTCATTATCAGCCATGAATGCTGGAAGTGGAAGGAGGATGATGTTACTGTTGAGGAGGTTAGTACAGTAACAGCAGCTTTTGGTTGCCAAGTGGTGGTATGATGAGTTGACATTCTATGCAAATGACAGAAGGAAGCAGCGCTGGGTTCATGATTCCAAGAGTGCACTTTCACAGCCAAAAGGGGAGGGTGCTTCCTTGATGTGGTGGACTTTGTTTCTGCAGATTATGGATTTCTGTGTTCAAAAGATGGAAGTAAGAGTGTGCAGGTACTATTCAGGGCAGGGAAGGCTCATGATGGCTACTTTACCAACCAGGATATAACTGCCCATGCTGCAAAGACAATGAATATCCTGGAGAAAGACTATCCTGATGAGGATCATGTTCTCATTTTTGACAATGCAAGCACACACCTGAAGAGGGCAGATGATGCCTTGTCTGCTTGTATAATGCCCAAAGGGCCATCACCTACATGGGGGGTCTCCGTCTCAATAAACTGGTCCTGATAGGAAGCCCCTCAAGGGGAAAATTTACAGGGAGATGGCTGACTCCCGAATAGAAATCCACTGTCCCTTTATTTCTCCAAGGGTCCAAATAATAAAGCTGGGTGGTTCAAGGGTATGTCACAGATTCTTGTGGAGCACAGGTATACAGACACACCTAATCTTAAAGCTCAATGCAAGGACTTCAAATGTCTAGGAGATGGGAAGGATGACTGTTGCTGCCATCAGCTAATGTACAGCCAGCCTGATTTTGCCAATGTGGAGTCAGTACTTGAAGCCTTGTGCTGTGCATGAGGCTTCAATGTTATTTTCTTACTGAAATTCCATTGCAATGTGGTGTTCAAACTCAGGCTAGCCTTGCAGAACCCCTTTTTGCTATAGAGGTCAGACCTCCTTGAGGCCACAACACATCCTCCCATCACTTCCCTGCAGAGCCTTGACTCATCTGACTCTCTCATTTGTCACAGCGCACTATGTCCAACTCAGCCGATCTGAACCTGTTGCCTCAGCCGCTCGCAGCTAACCAGGATCGCAATACATTATCCTTTACCTGCCATCTTGGTTGTCTCACACTTCATCCAAGTGTCCTGTCCTGTCAGTACCAAGTCCTCCCATGTCCTGCCCATGTCCACCTATCTCCATTGGTGCATTTTAAGCTTATCTTATCATTACTGAATGAGTGGCAGGAACTGGGGAAACGAGTACGCCTATATCAAACAAGGCATTATTACATGTATTCCTATGGCCACAGCAACCACAAGCCTTATTACATACTAACCCGAATACCTCGCACCTCGCTACTACTCTTGCCTATGCGATCCCGGTGTGACAATCATATTGGCGCTAGGCATGTATACCTGCATAAGCCTTCAATAGGTGGACCAAAGTTATCCCTCATATTATTCACTACTCCCCTATCAGCAGTCTTCACTTGTCTCAGCCATAACTCTTGTCTGACACTATTCCACACTTTCCACACTATGCGCGCACATTCCCGCAGCGCTATTCATGCTCCTGCGACTTATCCAATGCTATTCCTGCGCTTATAGTGCTATCAGAACTACCAGCAATGTGTCTATGGGAGCATTAGTGCATGTCCGCTCTATCTAGTGCTTGTTCCCGCGCTTAGCACGCTGTTCTCACACTCTAGGATCCACCCGAAACATTGGAATCTATCCAGTGTCCATCCTACCTCATTGGTATGTAATTTGCCTTGCCTCAAGTTTATAAAAAGTGCTACAGTCTTATTACATGTATATCCTATCCCTTCCGAGTCCGAGATGGTATAGTTTACTAGTATAAGAAACCTATGGTGATTATTTTGACATTACTTCCCTTTGACTGTATTTCCTTCCCCTTAGGTTTTACTTAGAAGTAGTCACCCTTTAGTTGCGCTCTATGGCCCCTATTTGACTTTCCTTACCCTTGCAATCAATACCTTTGATCTCACTCACTATCCATTACCCTCCTTTGACTCAGTGTCCGCTTTCTTGACTTCCGCTCTTTCCTGCGCATTAGCGCTCTATCTTGCGACGCACTATTCCCGCACTTTAGCGCTCTTTCGGTGTGGGTATCACAACCTGGCAGGCACATATAAGAAAAGTGCTCAGCCAGTATAAGTGAGTCTTGGCTCTGCCTAGCTGCTATACTCGCAGAATGCAAGAACGTTCGACCCTAAAGGGGAAGCAAAGAAAGCAAGGATCCACAGAATGATGCTAATCAACCCTGGTGAATGGCGGTGAAAGCGTGAGACGCGGTGAAGGCGCGTGCGGGAAAGTGAAGTGTGAAAGTGCGCGAAGCGTGGGAAGGTAGTGCAAGCGGTGCACAAGTGTAGAAGACGGATACTGAGACTGATAAGAGGAAAAGTGCAGATCTAGATGGATACTGATAGTGCCACTAGCTATAGACTGATGCTAGGGCCTCAAGATGATGATGGATATATGCATTGCATGGAACTAACTGCCAAGTACATGGTGTTAGAAGATACTGAGTGGTAGGAAGCTGGGTGTAAAACGAACATGAGAGTATGTAAGTTCTACCTAAGCGCTCTCCCAGGGCTTGGAGCCAAATAGGGAGCACTCTAAGTATGTAAGTGAGGTAAAGTAAGGGTCCATAATGAAATAGGAAGTGTAATATGCCAAATATAGTCAGATAATGAAAAGGAACATACCAAGGGACTGGTTGGACGATGAATGGATGCTCCTGGATGCTGTGCGATGCAGTGCGCTTAAGCGCAAGACAGCACGCAAGGCGAGCATGCGGGAATACTGTGCATTGTGCGGGAAAGTGTCGCGCCTATGGCGCGTTTCGCGGGAAGTGGTGCGCTCCATGGTGGAAGTCATAGTGGATGATGGTGCTAGTTGTGCCATGAAGGCCAGTTGTCAGAATTTGTAAAATGAGCCCATATGCGTCTGCAGAAACGTGAGTCTCTACATCAGGTCTTTCTATCTTAAGTTGTCCTTAGTAGCTTTTCCCTCGGGTCGAACATTCTTGCTTTATTGTTTGCAAGTATAGCAGCATAGGCAGAGCTTAGACATATACTGGCTAAGTGCCTTTACAAGTGCCTAGTCAGGTTGTGTTTTTCACCTGTTGTGTTTTTCACACTGGACATTCACATAGATAGATAAATAGGACTCAAGTCTCATACTATCACTTACTTCCCTTCTCCAGACATACCTGCTAGCATTGTAGGAGTCACCTTAGTGAGTCTTTGATTGTGCAATTGATCCTTTGCTTTCATCTTGGACATGCCTTAACTGCTCTAAGTGTTATGAACTAGGTGGGTTCTGACGTATGGCTACTCGATAAGAGTAATCGGCCAAGGTTGGTTCAAGGCTTCAGCATATGCCGAAGTTCAATGGTTCACTAAGACAAGACAAGGAGAGTGTCCTCGACTTGAATCACGTTTTAATACAACTTAAGATTGGAGGTCTTAAGCGAAAGAGATTCCAGGTAAAACCTAGTAAGATTAAAGTAAAGAACTACATAGTACAGGACGAGTTTATATAGTAAACGGTAACGACTTTAGGGCCGGTACGATGAGATCATAGAGACGAGTCAGAGATAAGACGAGTCAGAGATAAGGCGAGTCAGAGATAAGACGAGTCAGAGATAAGGCGAGTCAGAGATAAGACGAGTCAGAGATAACAAGAATAGATCATCTAGCGACAGCAAGATGCGATCGTGATGTAATACAATGATGTGAGAGAAAGAAAATGAATAGGGGCGTACTTGACTGTAACACTAAGTGTGCATTATCTAAGCTTTCTATACCTAGGCCTTGTAAGACTTGGACTGCTACTGATAGTCTTGACTTGGCAACCTATACCTAGTTTTAGTTATACCTAGTTATACCTAGACTCTCCTTATGTTAAGACCGTACTCAAGAGGTATCAGATCCGAAGAGCTTCGGCCTCAGCTTGTGCGCTGTGCCCCTTTCCCGAGTATTGCCCCTTATTTCAGAGTACTTGAAGTATTGCATCTAATGAGATGGATAAGTATCGTAACGGATCTGTTAAGACTTCCAGATATCAGATGTATAGAGTAACGGCTAATCTGGATCGGATCCAAACTAGAAACTAATGGATGAGGACTGTCCGAAGACAGAGGCAGATATACAGACTATAGGAATCAATCCTAAGTCTTGGATTAGACAGGAGTAGAAGACTTGAGTCTGGACAGATAACGGAGGATGAACGGAGGGACTTAGAGTCCAGATGGAATGAGTGCAATCTAAGATGATATTCGAACTGATCTACTACAGCGCATGTACAAGGGTTTATATACTATGGATAACTAATGGAATGATCAATAAGCAAAGGTGCAAGGCTATGTACAAAGTATAAGCAGAGCGGATTGGTAAGTCAGACAGATCACAAATCATGAATTGGAAATGAAGTAAGTACAGCAGATCAGTAAGCATAGCAGAAGTAAGGATAGCTGGAATGCCGGAGTCTAGGAATACCAAAAGGAGATGAACAATAGTTAGAGTTATATGAACAGGAAATGAAATGAGGATCAGATTGGATCTGTGGACCGGATGATGGATATATCCAATGGATCTGGATCGGATCTGCAATCCGGATCTTCGGATCTGTAACCGGATATATGGTATATGACACCTTACCTCGGCCTAGCTTTATCTGCCATTCCCCTTGGCATTGGATCTTTCTACTTGTATCAGGTATCTCGCATCAGGTGTACCATCGGTACCCTCTTGCATCGGACACTTCTGGACTTGGACTCAGACCTTTGGTTGGTTAGAACATCTTGGTCTCAGATTACAGCTTCTTCCCTTCTCTTCCCTCACACTATTAGAAGGAAGTGCTTCAATAGCAGTCCCCTTGGGTTGACATACTGCACTCGCACCCATTAGGATTTAGTAGGTTTGTTGGTATAGCTAGCTGACTACTATTTCTTTCACCACAGCGAGCTCAATTTCATTGAGCAGTGTGGGGTTTTGCAAAGTGGATATACCACATGAAGGATAGTTCATTGTCAGCTGCTGCGCTTGAGAAGAATGTCATTGACTCACTCAATGCAGTACCAATGTTGACAATATGGCAGTATGACTCATATCAATGACTTATCAATCAGACTTCTGATGAGAATTGTAGATTTTCCATCAGATTTCCATCAGATCAGCCAGATTTATTGATGCTTACCAAAAAGGCCTCATGAAACACAAGCAGCATGGGCGGTAAAGAAATATCATGGACATTGTGTGCTTCCTGCCTCAATCATGAAGGAATTTGATGAGCACTAAAGCACTGACAGCTGCCCACCCCTTGGCAAGCATCAGTCTGACTGCTTTTACAATGAGCAAATATATTATTTTGCTTACTACTCATATACTACTTATACATTTGACTAACTAACACTGGCAGCACATATTTTATCTCTGAGCTTGATACATACAGTGGCTCAAAAAAGTGTCCCAATGTTTGTGGGTTTTCATGCAATTGCTTCATTGTGAGTCAGGGTGTGGGAATCTGACCAAGCTA